CAGTACAACACCTTTTGGGCCAAATAACAAGACAATTATTATTTAACTTGAAGTGTAAAAGCTAACACATATCATACTTTTTTTTTTAAATCAAGTAGAAATAATGTACAAATGTAATTTGAATCATACTAACAAGTTATTCTCAGATTCAAACTGGTTTTCATTCTTTACATAGTCTGTCATTCTCTTAAAACAGATCCTCTACTCAATATTTTCAATAGGTTTAAGCTGCATTTAGAATAAAATCAAAACCCCTTTGCCAGTCTCTCAAGGATTCATATATTCTGCCCTCCCTCTCCATAAAACTTCAACCAAGCTCTGTCCTCTCCCTTGTTAGCTAGGCAGCAGCCACACTAGAAAGCCTTACATTCATCACATGCAAGCTCTTCTTTGCCAATTCCTTGTCCATGTTCTCTTTTCTCTCTATTTCTTTGCATGAGTAACTTTTTCCTTATCCTCTAAATCACAGTTTAAGTATCAGCTTTTCAGTGAAGCCTTCCTTGAATGTTCTAATTAAAATAGATCCTCCTCCTGAGAAGACCCATTATTATCTAAAAGAAAACCCTCAATGCTTCCTTCCAAGCACTTGATGTGATTTGCATTTATTAGTTTGTTTACTTGTTTACATTGTGTATCAAGTTTTGGGTAATGGGTATTCACTATTTTATTCCTAACACACAGCATAGTGTCTGGTACTCAATGAATATTTATGTGAACCAAATTTTCTCCTCAAAGTTAAGATGTAATTGCAAAGGTTTTTGTGATCAGAAGATTTCAGAACGTAAATGCTCTCCACCCTTATGCTCTGGTGGTGTTATATTTTCCTAACATCTTGTATCTCTGTATGTCAGGTTTTATTTGACTTAAATTTAGATGCACTTTTAAGTGATTCGATTTAAAACATAACAAAACAAAAGAAACTCACAGCTCAATCTCTAGCATCTGTTCTGACACATATTCCCATAGCAGATCTTTATATTGTAATTGGGAAGGCACACAGAAGGTTAAAGGGTAATAAATAGTTCCTGCCAGGATTTTTGCCTCAATAATAGTGTCACGGAAAACCAAAAACCAAATCCACTGCCATCAAGTTGACTCCAACTCATTGGACCCCAATTGGGATTCTGAGGCAGTAAGTCTTTACAGAAGTAGGTTGTTCGATTTTCCTTCTGCAGAGTGTCTGGTGGGTTGGAACCACCAGGCTTCTGGTTAGCAGTCAAATGCCTTATGCACTGTGCCACCATGAAAAGGGTTCCAATTTTATACCCTGGTAGCATAGTGCCTAAGGCACTTAACTGCTAACCAGAAGGCTGGTGGTTAAAACCCACCAGCCACTCCTTGGAAAGAAGATTAGGCAATCTACTTCCATAGTGATATCACCTTGGAAACCCAAAGAGGGGTCACTATGAGTTGGATCAGACTCAATAGCAAGGAGTTTGGTTTTAAACCAAAAAAAAAAAAAAAAAAATTCACTGCCATTGAGTCAGATCTGACTCATAGTTACTCCTTCTTGGGTTTCTGAGGCAGTATCTCTACAGAAGTAGATTGCCCAATCTCCCATCCAAAGAGTGGCTGGTGGGTTTGAACCTCTAGCCTTCTGGTTAGCAGTCAAATGCCTTAGGCACTATTCCACCAGAGCTTCCATACCGCATAGAATTGTTGTTGTTATGTGCCGTCAAGTCAGACCCGACTCATAGCAACCCCTCCTTGGGTTTTCGAGGCAGTATCACTACAGATAGTAGAGTGCCTCATCTTCCCTCCGAGGAGTGGCTGGTGGGTTTGAACCGCCAGCCTTCTGGTTAGCAGTCAAGTGCCTTAGGCACTACGCTACCCAAATTCCCTTAAGTAAATCTACTTAAATCTTCTACTTAATAGTTATGGGATTCTCTACAAATTACTTAACCCTCAAAATTTGACCTTTATCTTTTAAATGAAGTGTAGTGATTCTTACCTACCTCAAAGAGTTGTGTGAACCTGAAAATGCTAATCACTGCCTACTCTGGGATCTATTTGGATAACACCTACAGGTTTCATTTAAAGAGAAATCAGCAGGGCAGGGAATTGTGAGCCCCTCCCTATCAGTGCTGAGAATCTTGAGATAATCATCAACCTCTACTAATGATGTATATAGAGAGGGCTTAGCATGTACTTAAATCCTTTGACATCCAATTATTATTATTATTATTATTATTATTATTTTAAGCAAGCATCTGTTATCTGTGGCCAGTTTATGTAACTGGGTCTTTTCAAGCACAAGCTTTATTAGAAAAGTGTCAATGTTTGTTGTCCCAGTCCAAATGCTATCTATCTGACAAGAATCTTGTCCCACATTGGCACGGGCTGGCAACCAGGCTTCTGTATTTTTAGTAAAATCCTCAAATGATTTGGATTCACATGAAAGTTTAAGAACTCCTGCTTAATGTATGGATAATCCAGTTATTAAATAGCTACTGTGTCTGCCATGATCCACTAAATTAAATTCTTTGTTTAATCGATGCTTGAGTGTCCTATAGTCTTATGTACTTGGACATTTAAATGAAAACATAATACCTTTATTGTCCTGGTTCTATTACTTCCCACTCAGCTCTAGCTGAGGCCTTTGCTCTTTTAACCTGCTGTGATAACAAACTTTCTGGGCTTATAATTAGGAACAAGAAATATAAAATAGGATTTATACAGGAGGAGTATTAAATGTTATCAGGTAAATGAACATGTATTTTTCTGGTTACCTAGTGCTACTCTGACAAGAATATACCTTAAATGGGATGCTTGAGTAAAGAAGAGTTTATTCTCTTACAGTTTGGGAGGCTAGAAGTGTGAGTTCCAAGTGTCAGGCTCTAGGGGCTGTGTGAAATCCCCTAGACCTGGGGCTTCAGCTCTGCCTCTTGCTCCTAGACCACTGAGGGTAGAGGCATCTCTCTACTCAGGCAGCAACTGGCTGCTGAGGTTAACAAGCCCAAGGTCGACAAACAAAATGGCACAGTCCCGATGTTACCAAAACACGGGGCAGGCCATTAATTCAAGTCCATTGAAAGTCCCAAGGTTGGCAGAGCATGGCAGGCTGCTGAACAATGACAAGTCTACATGCAGGGTTCAAGCATGCTATAAGCTAGAAACTGCTCCCCAAGGCTTCTCCTTGGGGAACCACAGCCTTAAGGCAGCTTACTCAGCTGCTCAGAGAAGATTCCACCATGGAGTTGATTTCTAGTGTCATCCTGGGGAATACTACCTCCAGCTGCCCAGCCACTCAGTCAGGCCCAGCCAAGTAGATACACAAACTTAACCACCACATATATAATGTTCATACCAATTGTTTTAAAATAAAAGAAATCATGAAAAGACAGGAAGATTTTAAAATTAATTTGTTAACCTTGCCAATATAAATTTCCAGTATGAGTAAATGTCACAACTTTAACTAGTAATCTGTATAATGATAAATTCAGATAATTTTAACATGACTCTATATCATTTTAAAATTATAACATGATAATAGGCTACCAAAATGATTTGATGTTTAATAACAATGACTAATTTATAAATCATGAAACAAAAAGACCAATAATTACTATATCATGATATTAAATATTACTCTAGAATTTATTATATTAAATTATCTCCATACTGCCAAAAGGAAACTCTATCTCTTACAAAGTTTGCCTGATTCTGGCAAGGAGGTGATACATACATAATGATCCATATCAAGAAAATATAAGTTTCCAAATTTGTGGCTACTTGTTTTCTTGTTCCATGGGTTTATTCATTCCTTTTCTTTGTTTACATATTAGAAAAATAAATAAACTAATTGTTAAACTTGAAAGAAAAATTTTGCATGCAGGTCATCACACACAATTAGGGATGTTGGAAAATATTCCATTCATAATAATCACCCTACTATACATGCACTTCTGATCTATCACCATTTTTTATCTTTAAACATTTTATGATGTAGAATCATAATGAAAAATATAGTTTATGATATAGTAACAGCAAATTTGCTATATGGAGATTACATTGTATTAGCCTTACCTTCCAATTATATTTAACACTTCAGATCTCTTGGTCTAAATACATTCAAGATAGTACTGGAATGAAATATTTATATATCAGATTTATTATTATGTAAATATACATCAAAGTACAAATTTATAAGCACTTTAGAATAGATTTTACCTTCGTTATTTAAATATGAAATGGACACAGACATTTTTATTTGACAACTTTTCAGAAATTTGATTATTTTGGAATGGCTGTGTATGCATTCTGATAATGGCTATGGATTCAAAAATCGTTGCCTGCCAATTGCAAAAAGACTGAAATATATTTTGAAAATTTATGTTTTACACACAAAGTACACTCTTCATACTGCCAAAAGGAAGCTCTATCTCTTACAAACTTTCCCAGATTTGCACTAAGGAGGTGATACTTACATAATAGGCATAAATGTGGCTCAGCTGTTTCATTTGTGGTTTAAATGCCCTGCACTTCTTTAAACATAATGTGTTAAAATTCTATCCCTATTTGGATGGTAAATGTGAATTTCAGGGATTTTGTTCCCTCTTTTAAGAAATAGGGGTAATCTTGGACAAAATTTATTGTCATCAAAGATATTCATGTTTTAGTTGCGATTAATATCATTCTTTAATGCTGAGGAAAAATAAGGAATGTTAGATTCCTTCAGTTTTGCTTTAGTAAAGTAAGAATCCTTTCCCACTAACCTCCATCACCCACCTGATCCATTTTGCAGAGTTGGGATTATTTAGAATGCTGAATGGAGAAAAAGAAATGTTTTTTAAATAAAATTAATACATTTTCATCTAAATAAATTAAATTGTCCTACACCCTAAACATATATGAGATTTCCATCAACTACTCAATTAGTATTAATTTAAACATTTCATAACGCTGAAGAGTAGACTATTTTCATGTATATATATGTGGAATAGTTTCTGTTCTCTCTCTGTGCTGTAATTCACTTTTTGATGGAATTTTGATATTCCTAGATATCCGTGGAATACAGGAGTTTTTGGACAAAGTATCTCAGCAGGGGATGGATGTTGCACTTCAGAAGGTGGAAAACAACATCAATAAAATGATCACCACTCTCTTTGACACCATGAGAATAGAGGAACTGAATCGCTATCGAGACACTCTTAGGCGAGCCATCCTTGTTATGAACCCTGCCACAGCCAAATCCTTCATCACAGAGGTAAGTGAAAATGGCCAAGTGGTAGAGGCGAGATGTAAAAAATAAAATGCTTTGAAATGGACCCCACAGAAGAGATGAAAATTAAGAACAGTGGAAGGGATTTAACTATACAACTCTCATTATCACTAATGAAGGTATCACAGTGAATTCCTTTCTTATCACATTTACCTCGTACTGTCCAGTTAATTGTTGAGAATACTTGTATTTATATATATTTAGGCACATGGCCAACATGAGTTTAAGAAGTCTTATTGGAGTTTAAAAGTGCTGTTGACCTGAATGATTCTAACAAATTGAAGAATGAATTCACAAGGGCACAATTCACTAATCCTTAAATTTTTTGAAAGTAAAAATTTCACTTCTTAGAAAAGATTCACTTGAAGCAGGCTATTATCAGCTAAACATGATTACTTGTACAACAGGAGCAAATTTACTTCTGCTGTGTTAACTGTATACCAAGACAAGTAATTCAGACTGTCTGAAACTCTCCAAAGTGATGACCACTGTACATTTTATGATGCTGCATACTCAAAATTTTAATTGTTTGTATTCATTTGGTTAGAAGCTCTGAAATGTTGTAAAACTGTAGTTAAGATTCCTAATGTCTGTGTTCTAAAATGCTTGCCCTTGCCTTGCAAAAAGTTATTATCAAACCATTATTACCTTCAAGTTTTTAATTTTATACAGTGATTGAGCCAGTCATGAGTTTGCATATTTAACAGAGGTTTTTTGGGTGATGTTAAATTTTTAATTTTGGTGACTGTATTTGACTAATTCTTTTTTCTTCCCCTTTCCATTATATGTCTTTAGTTACTTCCCAAAGTTCTGCTATAAAGACTTCAGATTAGGAACGGGTTAGAAGTTTTTTGACACTTTATAATATTATTAGTATAGACCAGAATAGAAATTATTTAGAAGAATAAAACCTGTGGAAAACTATCAATAATGTCAATTGTTACTTTAATAGAGAAATTTGTTGTGGACTTCAAGGTCTGAGGAAGAAATTTAACCTATTGTGGTGTAACAAATGACTCAGAGAATCTCATTGAACCATCAGATTTTTTTCCATAACAGAAAAACCTATTTCCCATTTTATAGAAGTTTATTCTTTCTTTAAAGAAAACAAAATCTTCTAAAGATTGAAGTCAAGTACACAAAGACATGTAATATATATTGGAATGTTAAAGGTGTAGTAACTGAGGTTGAAGCATCTGCTGTCATTTCTGGCTGGCAAGATCAGAGAAGGCTACATTGAGACAGGACATTTGAATTGTACTTTTTATTACAATAAGAATTCACAAGAGAGAAATGAATTGTAACAGATTAACACAAGTCCGTTTCAATCAATATCTGAGCATGTGGAATGGGCAAACTACTTAAAATTTCTGAATCTAAATTTTGTTGTCTGTAAAATGAGTATACTAGATTGATGTCAGTTTATTAATTTGGTAATGTGGAGTAATGAGATATCTTACAATATGCTGGGAAAAGCAAGTGTCTATACCTAGTAGATGCTCAAGATATGGTAACTTCTAGATCACTTTTCTAACACATATCATGGACACATAAAAGATGCTCAAAAAATGCTTGGTGAACTGAAAAGAATGTCAAGATGAACAAAGACACAGGCCTTTATTGTATACCCAGATTAAAGCAAGTACTTCTGTGCAGATTAAAAGTAGGATGTATGAAGAAGTGATGGAGCATGCACTGTGCAAAGTAGAGATTTATACCAGATAAATACAAGGCCCTTGAGTGTCAGGGTAATAGTATATATTTAGTAAGCAGTTAGAAGTAATGGGCTAAGGAGGGGGGCGGTGACTTGATCCTTCCTTTTCCTACAGGGGAGACCTAAGGCAGAGAGATTGGGGAAGTAATAACTCTCATCTTGTTAGGGAAAAAGGTCTGTGTCAGGTGTCAATGGGAGAGAAGATCATAGGAAAGAGAGTCACTCAGGCAGAGTTCACATGGCTAGAGAGGATTTTGAGGTTTTTAAACTAGTCCATAAGAGATATCAGTGCCATTAATTGCTATGAGCAAATAATGTGGAAGAGTGGGTTTGAGGAAATTCAAATTGTATTAGTGACACGTGAAGTTTAAGCTATCAGTGGATTACCCAGGTAGATATACTCTATTTTAACATTTTTAAAAAAAATCCTAACTATTTCCTGGGTGCTTTTGTAAACTCTTTATAATCCTTTAACTCATTTAGTACTCATAAAAACCCCTTGAGTTGGGGTTACCATTATCCTTGCTTGAGATAAGGAAACTAAGCCTCAGAGAGGTTTAATAAATTGTCAGGATTACACAACAGGTAAGATGTGTATTTGAGGTGGAGCCCAGGCAGTTCGTCTCCACAAGTTGTGTGCTTAACCCCTGTGCTCTGCTGCCTGCCCAGCTGAAGTGGATGCAAATGCATGACTACAGCTCAAGATATGATCAGCGCTGGAGATGTGGTTGTGTTTCAGTCAGTTTAATAAACACTGACTTTTATCCGATATATACTAGATAGCATGCTAGGCATTAGTGGTGTAATGGTGGTAAAGATTCAGTTTCTCTTCTTCAAATTTACAATCTGGCAATGGGTTTAGACAACAGAAAAATAACGTCACTGTTATGGGATGCATGCACTGCAAGAACACACACTTATTGATTCTAATCTCAGAGACACAAAAGATGGATACCTGACTGAGCCTGATTGCAGGAAGAAGTGTGTGACTGTAGAAGTGCTGAGGAGGAAGTGCTCCTTAACTTGAGTATTAAAAGACATGCACACTTGTACAAGGCAGAGAATGGAGGAATGGCTGTTCTCAGCAGGAATGAGACCATGAACAAAAGCACAGAGGCTCATTGTACAAAAGCATTATGCTCTATCTAAAGGACCACTAGTGAAAATTACACTAGCTAACATTAACAGAGGAGGGAGTTGGAAGTTATTTTTATGAATGATGAATAGTCATTGCAGTGATTGAAATAGGAGATAATACATTCAAAATATGCTACACAAAATGATACCCAAAAAAAGGTGCAGAGCATGAATTTAAGAGGAGCAAGACCAAATACTGAAAAACTACATTTGAATTATTTCAACCATGCAAGCTAAAGAAAGGGATTCCTTGTTGTAAGACAGAGTAGTAGAGTATATAGAGGAGAGTCAATATACAAGGAAGAAAAGGCATGGTAAGATGATGAGGACTTCTGTATGGACATGTTGCGTGCATGTCATTTAAGTCAAATAGCATGTTATTTCATCAGCCACTCCTCAGAAGGAAGACTGGGCAATCTATTTCCATAGAGATACTGCCTCGGAAATGCAAGGAGGGGTCTCTATGAGTCGGATTTGACTTGCTGGCAGTGAGTTAGGTTAGGTTAACATGTTATTTAATCCTCAGAGCTTTTCCTCATACTCAAGTAGATGGTTTAGACACAGTTTAATTTAGAAATGGATAAGTCAGGTCCTAAAATAGTTTGATAATATCGATATCTCTCTCTCTCTCTCTCTCTCTCTATATATATATATATATGTAATTGAAAGATGATTGTGTATAAAAAGAGAGTTCTGGTGGTATAGTGAGTAAGATATTTGGCTGCTAACCAGAAGGTCAGTGGTTCAAACCGTCCAGCTGTTCCATGGGAAGAAGATGAGACAATCTACTTCCATAAAATTTACAGCCTTGGAAACCAAATGAGGGTCACTATGAGTTGGAATCGACTCAATAGTAGTGGTGTTTTTTTCCTTTTTTTTCACTGTTTTATTTGTTTTTTGATGTAAAAAATCAGTAGATGAAGTAAGTGAAGGAACAGAATTAATGAATGTCAAAACATAAAAGCAACCACTGCTGTGGAGTCGAATCTGACTCATAGCAAGCCCTCCTTGGGTTTCCAAGGCTGTATCACTATAAGGGTAGAAGAATAAAGTCTAACAAAGGAAAATGAAAAAAAAAATATATATAAGATCACTTACAGGCAAAACTAGAAAGTAAAGGAAGAAAGAAGTTCAACAAGAGAATACTGAGGAGTTGTCATACAAATAAGAACTGAAGTGTATTAGATCGGGAAAGTGGAAAATCTGATTACATAGCAATATCAAATTCCTTTGTGAAAGTGAAAAGAAGATTTTTGTGTTGACTGGACGTGTGGTGAGAAAAAGGAAACAGAATGTAGATTACCCAAGCCAAAAAGTTGGATGAAATTGTTAGAAAGAGGAGCTCATAAATGAAATATTTATTGTCACAGGCACATAGAAGAGATCTCAAAAAGAGGAACTTAAACAGAATCAAGTAGAAAGGGCTGTAAGTGAAATCACAAAGAGGCTCTAGATGTGGGCTCATAAGGGTGCAAAATGTCCAGGCCACAGGAAAAAATATAGTTCAAAAGGTAGGAGGAGGCCCGAAGTAGTGCTATTTCACAGGCCCTAAGGGAGCCCTGGTAGCGTAGTGCCTAAAGCACTTGACCAGAGGGCAGGTGGTTCAAACCCAGCAGCCGCTCTTCAGAAGAAAGGTTGGGAAATCTACCACCGTAGTGATACCACCTCGGAAACCCAAGGAAAGGTTATTATGAGTCACTACACTCAATGGCACATAACAGCATGCATCTAGAGGGAGCTCTGATGGCGTAGTGTCTAAGGCATTTGACTGCTAACCAGAAGGCTGGTGGTTCAAACCCACCAGCCTCTCCTCAGAAGGAAGATTGGGCAATCTACTTCCGTAGTGATACTTACTGCCTTGGAAACCCAAGGGGAGGATCCAACTCCACGGTAGTGAGTTTGGTTTTTTTGTTTTTATACATCTAGAAAACAATAGTTGTCCCTAGAGTTAAACACAGTTTGTTATGAGAACTCAGAAAAAATATTTGTACTGAGGAAATAAAACTTGACAATGGCAAGATAGTTTGCCAGATTGCAGAGGGGTCATTATTTCCTAGCAAATGAATGGAGGCAGATATATTGACTACATTAAGATTAAGAAGTCTGGTGATGAAAGTAAAGCTAGCATGGTGGA